TTATGTGCATGACTATAATGCATGCATGTAGGTAGGTGCACCCATGTTGTGCAATGCTCTCAGCAGTCAGGAGGGGGTGTTGAACCCCATGGAACTGGAGTTAATAAATTGTTGTCAGTCATCATGTGGGTGCTAGGAATCAAACCTAGGTCCTCTGCAAGAGCAGTCAGTTCTCTTAACCGCTGAGTCATCTCTCCAGCACCCTCTTTGTGTTTTTTAAGGCTCCTATGTAATGAAAGCAATTAGATATGTTATCTATCTCCTTAAAGACAACTTTGAAGCAGACTAGCCAGAAAATAAAAAAATCTTTGAAAAACACTGTGAGGTACAAAAACCCAAGATAGTAGTCATAAACCCTTACATCTCATCCCTTAGTCAGTTTTATCTTAGAAAGTTATCTGATGATGCTTTCCTGGTTGAACACATATTTTAGGCCTCTAATTGTAAACTTAGACCTAAACTACTAGGAGTTACAGCAAAATAATTAGCCTAGATTTCTAAGTATCAGAAATTCTTTCATTTTTAATGCTGGTAATTAATCTCCATGGAATAATACAGTAAGTAAACTACACTTCAGCTGCTAATACTGAGAAATGGATTTTTTCTCTTTTTTTCATTTCGTTTTGTGAACACAGATAAAGTCCTTATGAATCAGAAGTAACTGGTGATCTATAATATGAATAACACTTATGTTCTGAATAGAACATAACAATGCTCATGTGTCTCTTTTTAACATTAATAGTTAAGTGCTGGCATTCAATTAATTTAACACACACTGCATTTATGTCTAACAAAAGCACCAGCAGACTTCTAATTATGTTATATCTTTTAATAACAGCCTAAAAAACAGGTGAAATGGAGAACGTACAGATATTTTATTGATAAATGCCTATCTCACTGCTTCTAAATAATCTTTGTAATAGTTTTATAATCATTCACAAAATCTATAACTGTTAAAAAGTAAAAGTTAGCCGGGTGTGGTGGCGCACGCCTTTAATCCCTGCACTTGGAAGGCAGAGGTAGGCAGATCTTTGTGAGTTCGAGGCCAGCCTGGTCTACATAGTGAGTTCCAGGACAGCTGGGGCTACAAGGAGACCCTCTCTCAAAAAAAGACAAAAAAAAAAAAGTAAAAGTTAAAGGTAAGAAAAATAATCTTTCTCTAAAGTTCTAAGTTTACATGAAAGTACTCCTTGAATGACTGACTCGGTGGCTCAGCATGATTACAGACTCTTGTTCATGGTCATGCCATTGGTCTGTCACATTTTCCTAAAGAGCTCGCATTACATTATTATTTGAAGTCCATTGGTCTTATATGCTTTAGTTTCTATTACTAACATACACTTCTAGTGTCAACTGAGGTAAAAAGGGTCGGATTTTTTTTCTGGAGAGCTGTTATCTTCTTATGCTCAGTCATAGTCTTTCACTGTTGCTGGGTCTGACCCTACTCAACATACACATACAAAGGTAAGGCAAGCAAACATGTTCTATAACTACATACTAGATAAGAGACATGTAATTCCACTAGGCAACAAATGGTTTCATGTCAAGAAATAAGACGTTCAGTAGAAAATAATCTAAAAAGAAATTATTAGAATTAACAAAGACAACACCTAAGTACACTCTGCTATTACCTAGAATGTAACCTCACTTTGTAGTCATTAAAGTCATAACCATTTTTTCTATAAGTATTAAAAGATGCTACAAGCATATTTTTCAAGGAAGTTTGTTTGGATATGTGATCATATAATGGTATTTGTTAAGGAAAAGTTTTCTAGGTTCTAGTATTAAACATTAAAGCAAAATGCTTAAAATATTTTGATGTTTCATTTTTGAGATGGGGAACTAAATGTAGTGTTTAGGACTTAAATCACAATGGATATAAAATGAGGGATTAATATTTTTCTTTTACCTGTACTTGCTATCTCATACGCTACTTGCTGCTTTTGTCCTCTTAATTGAAAGCAATAAGCAGCTTTCAATAAATACCTCTACGTTACATAAATCTTTTAAACTACTTTCTCTCAGATTAAAAACAAAATTCCTTTCAAATGTTTGATACTATCTCAGAATTTACACATTAATCCATACTCTTTTGTTTATTCATTTATTTGATATTTATTGCACATTCATTATGTGCCCAACACTACACTGGTCAATGTAGAGACAAAAGGGCTTTTTTTAAAAAGTAACAAGTTCAACATAGTGGTGCATCACATCTGCAATCCCATGATTTAGGAGGTGAAAACAGAAATATCACTGGGAGTGATGGCGCACGCCTTTAGTCCCAGCACTCAGGAAGCAGAGGCAGGTGGATCTCCGTCAGATCAAAACCAGTCTGGTCTATAAGCCATTTCCAGGCCAGCTGGGGCTACAAGTTTGAAAAAAACAAAAACAAACAAAAACCTAGAAGCTTGGGATTGAAGCCAGCCTGGGCTAACATAGCACTACAAAGAAAGAAAAAGAAAAAGAGATGTAAGTACAAAAGTGAAAAATAGTTTCTTTAAAGTGTTTTAAATTTTAGTATAGTGTCAGTAAAATGAAATTATTTTATACCTAGATTTTTTGTTTGCCACAATAAGTATCTTCCAGATTACCTATTTTTCATCATATTACTGAATGGCTTATTTGTTTACTCATTTACTTAATTATTATTACTTTTTTAGACAGAGTCACATGTAGCCCACAGTGGCTATGAACTTGCTATATAGATGAGGTAGCCTTGAACTTCTAATTCTGCCTTCACTTCCTCAAGTGCTAGGATTAGAGGCAGGCACCACCACACTCAATTTCGTGGCTGTTAGATTTAATAGTCAAATAATATTTCAGAACAATTAGACACTTGCATTGCCTATTCTTTTGTTTTTAGATGTTTAGGCTATTTCCAGTTTTATTACAATGAACATCTTATATATGTAGCTTTGTATAACAGTATAATTCCTACAATTAGAATTCTGTACACAATACTAATATTAAAATTCCCCATATAGTGCCAAATTGTTTTTCAAATATTGGAACAGGTCACATTTCTATCATGGTGTTTGAGAGTACATATCCCATCATTTATTTGTGGTAGGATTATTCAAATAAAACTTTACTGGGACCATTTTGAAAGATAAGTTTCAGGGTTTTTTTTTTTTTAGTGAGGTTCATACATTCTTTGTTCTTATATTCACTGTCCATTTGTAAGGATCATTCATTAAATTAAACAACTTTTAGATTATATATATATTTATAGGGTATAGAGTAATGCTTATGCTTTGTGTAATGTTTAAATTAGGGTGAAGTATATATATTTTCTTGTGGTTATTTCTGAATAATAAAAACCTTGAGAAAAGTAATTTAAAGTAATCTGAAATCTGGTGATTTCACCTCTTGCTTGTTTCTGTTGGTATTCCTGCGGTGGCCGGAGCTGTTTTATTTGTAGTGTAATTTAATACGCATGTTAAGATTTTCATTTATTACATAGTCTTTGAACTTGGCTTTCACAGTGAAACAGTATCTTTCAGTAAAAGTTTGTTTTTATCTTAGGATATGAAAATTATACTCTAATTAAAAGTGGCAAAATGCTCATTACTTAATCTTCCAAAAACAATGTCAACTGAAACATTGGCTTTTATACCTCATATATCATTTTTGTGATGGTTCGTAAACCCTTGGTTTTGCATGGTATTTTGTATTAGTGTTATTGACATCTATAAATTCTCAGTACCTCTTTGTATGTATACACACATGCACACAGTGGGTTTTTCATTTAAACTTCTGATGGTAGGTTATAAGCCATGACTTTTCATTTCTAAATACTTAAAGAGCATTTCCTGAAAATACAGACATAAAGCTGGGGATGATGGTGCACGCCTTTACTCCAAGTATCAGGAGGGAGAGGCAGGAGAATCTCATTCAATTCCGTATCTTTCTGCCCCATTCCTTATAATTCCATGTAAGAAACCAATTCCATTATTTTCTGATATCTTTCTCTTTTCCTGTTGTAAACTTAAGCCAATGATAAATAAGCTTTCTTTATTTCCCTTTCTGTCTTAGACAAAAGATAGTATACTGTATAGCTGGGCGTGTTGGACATCTAACACTATCTCTGGCACTCACTTCATTTCTGTTCACAGAGCTCTTTTCTCCCAATGGTTATATATAGTTAGTACCCTATCACATATATGTACCATAATGTATTTATGCTAATTGCTTACTGTAGAACATTTAGATACTTTCAAATGTTATGTGCAAATAGTATCACAATGGATAATTAAGTTTATTATTTTCCTACTACTGAAGATATATCTTCCAGACAAACTCCTAGAAATTGAAATGCTGGATAGAAGAGCAAGCACTTTTTTTTTTTTTGAGACAGGGTCTTCCTACATAGCCTTGGCTGGTCTAGAACTCTCTATGTAGACCAAGCTAACCACAAACTCACAGAGATCCACCTGCCTCTGCCTCCCAAGTGCTGGGATTAAAGGTGTGTACCACCATGATGTTAACTGTTTTTTTAAGATAGGATTTCTCTATACTGTCCATTTGAACACAAAGCCTGAAGTGATCCTCCTTCCTCAGCCACTGGAATAATCAGGACTACAGGCACATGCCACTAAACCTACCAAATTCCCTTCCAGAAAAGGGCTTTGTTTGTTTCTTGCTATGTAGCCCAGACTGGCCTAGAACTTACTATATAGCTCAGACTGGCCTAGAACTTACTATGTAGCTCAGACTGGCTTTGAAATGCCAATCCTACTGCCTCAGCCTTTTGAATACTAGCTTACAGGCATTACTACCATGCCAGAGAAAAAAATATCATACTATATTTTGATTCAAATTTAGTAATATACTGATGACTTGCCAGGCTGGTAAATCTCTTTTGGCTTTCAAGTACTGGTTAATATAATCCTACAATGTTGGAGTTCTCATTCCTATTAAACTGGAATTTTTACCTGTTTTATATTTTCACAATCTCTAGAGCAAGGAATTATAAAGAAGTTACTGTAACTACTTACTGAGTGGTGTTGTATCAGGAGGTGGAAAATTCTCAGTAAAGTTGACATTACATAAATCTGTGCTACAGCAGCAAAAACGGTATGTTCCATTCTGAATCGAGGGTGGGGTGGTGGTTACTACACATTCTTCATAGTGGCACTCTTGGGGATCCCCAATGTGAGACCAACATCCTACAAACCAGTATTAAACAAATTAGGAGATAGTAAGGAAAATATCAAAATATGAAATAAGTGCAATAAATATGGAAGTTATATGTACATTATAAGACAACCTAAAGAAAAATGGCAAAGGATATAACAAACATTCATGGGGGAAAAGCCACCAAAAACATGTTTAACTATAGCATTATTAGAATTTAAAGCAACAGTAAACCCAATTAAACTATTCTGGATTTAAGTAAGTTGTTCCAGATTTAAGAAATAGTATGTAAACATAACAAAGATTCAGTGACAGACTTGCATACATTGCTGGAATAAATGTATGATGGCAATTTTGGAGAGATGCGTGAGAATTTTAATGCAGAGCCTTTAGAACAATCATATTTTATAATCTAATAATTCTACATCAAGGAATCTATTTCAAGGAAACATCAGACACAAACAACAATGTATGTTCAAAGTTTTTCATTGCAGGATTCAGTATTCAATGAAAATCTGAAAACAGTATAATGTCCACACTGTGCAAATAAATGTGATATATGTATATACTGAAATTCTGTACTGAGGCTAAAAGTGCTTTCAGGGAATACGTCAAGATATGGGAAAAAGGAGTATGAAATTACTTATACAATATCATCCTAATTTTCTAAGAAAATTGGTACACATGTAAACATAAAGGTACAGGGAAAAATACATCTAAAGGGAACAGACCAATAGAAAAATAGTATTTTTAAAGAGGACTGAGTTGTAAGCTTTGGCTTTTTCTGAAGTTTTCTGTATCAAATTTCATTCATGTATATATTAACTCATAATGAAAAAGATATTATTAAAATACATTAAAAGTAAATATTCCTTTACAAATCTGGAGCTTAGGGTAAATAAATATCTATATAGGGATATATACATATTTTATATTTTTTATTTACTGTTCTTCTGGTGAGAATTTTAATCTATATGTCTTTTCTAGATAAACTCCAACTGCACAAAAAACAATGCTGAGGACACAGATCAGCAGTAGCACAAATGAGAAACATCCAAAAGAAAAAGAAAAACAAAGCAACTTAAGTAAAAAAAAAGGATTACTTGCCTTGTTTTACAAGATTTATGTCCCCTTTTGATTTCTCCCACAATCCATAGCATGTGCTCCCTTTTGAGCATAATATTGTCCCATTCTCATGAGAGATTCGGCTCTCGCCTATCCCAAGGTCTTGTTGATATGGATCTTTAAATGCACACAACCGTTCTTGATTCTGGGAAGCTAAAAAAAACGGGAAATAACACAATGATAAATTGATATTAAGATAATCTTTATACAACATTATTACGTAAAACCTTAATCTGACTGACATTATAAATTTCCCTACTGAGCTACCCACAGGCCTCTCTCAGGGGTAAGTTCATCGTGCCCTCTGAGCCTTTACTCCCCCAGCCTCCCATCTCCACCGTTCTCTCCTCCGAGTTTGGGCCCTGCCCCAATTCCTTGTCTTGGGGTCCCAGACACCTGGGGAACCAATACTGCTTCCTGATCCTTTTCATCCAGACCAAGATAGTGCCTTCTCTGGGTCCCAGGAGCACTGCTTCTGGGCCTTGCCCCACCCTCACCACCCTCTGCTTCCCTGGGCCTGCACCACCCTCCAGCCTCTTTCTGTGACATGGGGGCTGACCTTTCCTCTTCCTGATCCTTTGCATCCAGACCAACCCAGCAACTCAGTGCAGTCCCCAGGAGTCCTTGGGGCCTCTTATCGCCCCATCTGCCTTTGCATCTCTGGGTGGGAAGGCCACCAGCTGCCCTAGACCAGCATCTTTCCTGGGCCAGGCTCCCAGGCCAGTCCAACACCCAAATGAGGCCAAAATCGTTCCTGGAGGGATCCAGACCTTAGGAGAAAGCCTGAGAGCATCTGACCCTCATCTGACTTGGGCCTCTGTGGGAACTCCTGAAGATAAAAGCAATCTGGCCACTCCAGTATAAAATCAAAAGAGAGAACCAGAAGCTTAGAGGAACCAGCTTTTCATGCCCAAAAAGTAAACCACAGACACATAAAGTTCACAAAAAGAAGCAGAACTAAACTTGAAGGCCTAAAAACAAGCCTTAATGTAAACAAAACAATTGAAATAATTCCATTCATTCTATGAGATCACAATGCAAGAACTCAAAATCAACACCACAAGAAGCCCTAGTAACCACATGAACTCATGCAGATAAAATAACACACTCCTAAATGATGAATGGGTCAAAGGAGAAAAAAGAATTCATGGAACTAAATGAAAAGGACAATACAACATAACACAACATCTGGGACACTAAAAGAAATCAAAGAACTGAAGGAAGATGGGGATAAACTTCTGAATGAATTCAGTAAAGAGTTTGAAATATTGAAGAATACTTAGGCTGAAATGAAGAAGAAAGGTAAATACTCAGTAAGCCAATTAGAAATGACAAGAGAAAGCCTA